TCATCTTTCCTTCTGATGATTCTGACCTCTGCTCAGAGCATGAGAAGGATTAGGAGGAAATAAATGCATGCTTGAGACTTGCTCAGATTGATTCATAAACAATTTTTAAAAAGAGGATAGTGTTTGGAATGATCTCCCACTTGATCTAATCATGGCTAGGGATTTTACAGCAGTTACTGTTAGTTCCATTCAGTCAATCCAATCTAATCTCAGGATACTGGTCTGTTTTAGGTTTTAAGTGCTTTGGTCCCAGTCTCCACTCTGGTTCTCCACTGGGACCATGATAATTCTCCAGGACATGTCCCAGATCAACGAAACAGTCCCCAACTTGGGCTGCAACTGCAGCAGCTTATTAGTGGTAGGAGTCAAAATCAGGAAGGAATTTGGTCCATCTGTCCCACCTGCCCCAGTAAGTGTACCCATACTCACAAATCTGTCTACTCCTGAACATATGGAAAGAATGGCATGGTGTGACAGACCAGAAGTTTCTTCAAAAGCAAAGGAGAAACTTGAAGTGGCAAAAGTATGACTGATTTTATCTCTTCCTACTTTTACGTTGGCAACTTTATTCTCTCTAGCCAACTTCCAAGGGGCATTAGAAATACATTTCTCTAAAACAGCCTTCTTCCTTCTCTCTTCTCTCTTATGGAGTCTTTTCCCCTTTCCTACTGCCATACAATTAGTAAGGCAGACTTGGAACTCATGGGCAAACCAAACATTTAACAAGAAGAGGGTTGGTGTATATCATAGGTGTAGGCAAACAGGAGGTGGAGTGGGCTGGGGTGAGGCATAGATAAAATTCGTGAAGTCAGCTAACTCAGGGAAGAGCAATCAAATACTGTGAGTGCAGAAAGGAAGAGCACCAAAGCCTAAGGAAGTCAGTTAAGGTAGGAAGAAATAGGGAGAAGAGATTCAAAGCCCAGGTAAGTTGAGAGGTGGGAATCAGAAACCCAGGCTAGGAGATTCAGTGGCCTGAGCTACTAAGTATGTCCAAAATGTTGCTGATACAAATAGAAGCAGAAAGAAAGTCTCTGCTCTCAAGGTGCTTGCACTCTAATGGGGGAAGACAGTACTCAAAAGGGAGCTGAAAAGCTGAGGGTGAGAAGGAAGGGGTGCAGATGAAAAGAGAGGGGCTGTTTTTGAAGGCCAGACATCAGGAATGGGGCCTGGAGGGACATTACATTGAATCATATTGCCAATCTCACCAATGGATCTTACTGAGGGATTTTCCATTCAAGAAGGCATCTGGACTGGTTGGATTTTCCAGGGCCAGGTGGCCCTAGGCTCTGAGGGAAGTTCCAGGATGAGATAGCTTTGTTTGGAAGTTCCAGAGCTTGGAAGTGGGTTGGGAGGAACATTAAATTGAATAATATTGCCCATCCCCCTTAGCCTTTCTTTGGTGGGGGAGCTGAGCCTCAAACACTTGAATTGATAATAACTGTTTCATACTAGTTTTGATATGGATAATCGAGTGTTGATCATTTACAAATGATAAGGTATGTAAATAAATCTGTCTGAATACCCATGGGTTTATTCAGTAGGGGAGAGGAAACTGTTCTAGTTATGTTGGTGGCTTTAATTCTGATGTCCTACTTGTGAACAAATGCAGTGTTTTCTGCTTTCCTTTTTTTTTAATCTATCCTTCATCTTCTCTCCTTTTTTCTTCTTCCCAGTCCCATGTCCTTCCTCTCACTCAAAACATTTGCTTAGCATTTTGGGGGCATATTTAGGGTTGGTGAGAAAAGATATTGTGCAATTTGTTCCCCACCTTTAAAATATCCCATATATCTGTATAATATTTGAAACTTTTTCAAAGCAAATTCACATGATTTCATTTGATCCCCAAGGCAATCCTAGAAGATAGGTATGTTTTGACAGAACAGGAAAATAAGGCAGAGAGTAGGTTAAGTTGAGGTTGTTAGGTGTAGAGGAAAAAAGCTACTAGATTTTAAGGCAAAGAACCTGGGTTTCATTTTCAGGTCTTCCACCAGTTAGCAGTGTGAATTTGGTGGAACTTAGTTTCCTCATTTATAAAATGCAGGTGTTGGACTTTTGTTCAGTAGTTTCAGTCACGTCCTACTCTTCATGACCCTGTCTGGAGTTTTCTTGGCAAAGAGACTGGAGTGGTTTGCCGTTTCCTTCTCCAGCTCATTTTACAGATGAGGAAACTGAGGCAAACCAGGTTAAGTGAGTTGCTCAAGATCAGACAGCTAATAAGCATCTGAGGCCAGATTTGAACTTAGGAAAGTGAGTCTTCCTAATTCTGCACAGGGTACTCTATCCACTATGCCACTAGCCCTGGTGTTGGACTAGAGATCTCTAAAATCACAGAATTTAAGGGATGAAAAGGACTTCATAGGCTCCCATTCTAACTGGAACCAAAATAAGAATCCTTTCTACAACAGTTTCAGCAAGTGGTCAATCAGCTTTTGTTTTTGTTTTTTTTTTTTTTAGGCAGTTGGGGTTAAGTGACTTGTCCAGGGTCACACAGCTAGTAAGTATGTCAAGTGTTTGGTCTGAGGCCAGATTTGAACTCGGGTCCTCCTGACTTAAGGGCCAGTACTCTATCCACTGCACCACCTACCAGCTTTTGTTTTATAATATAGCTAAAACCCTCCCTGGTAACTTTAATAATCTGTGACTGGCCCATTTCTTGGTCAATTGTAACTACAAATTAGATTTTTCTCCTCAGTTCTCCTACCCTATGGGGACAGAGGTGGAAGAACAGAACCAGGATCAAGATTTTCATGATGGGAATGGATTGGGAAGCTGTATTGTATAATGAGGAGAGTACACATTTGTAGTTTCAAGGACTTGAGTTCAAGCTTCAGATTTGTCATTTACTAGATATGTGACCTTGGACAAACATTTTCCCTCTGCGTTTTAGAAAATATTGGACAATAGCGGGTCTTGCAGGGCTTTGGAAAGCAATAGTCTTTACTGCCGCCAGGGTTATGGTTACTCAGTGAATAAAAGTGGAATCATAGAATTTTAGAGGTGAAGGGTCTTTGTGAGATCATCTAATCTAAACTTCTCATTTTACAATTATAGAGAATGATGCATAGAGTGTTGAAGTGACTTAGCCAAGGTCACACTTGCTAATTGGTGGCAGAAACAAGATTATTCTGAGATCTGAGAAACCGAGTATTTTAGTGTGTAGAGAGCTGGTCTTGAGTTAAGGAAGACCTGAGTTCAAATCTCAACCCTGAAACCTACTGCCTGTGAACTTGGGTAAGTCACAACCTCTTAGGCAGCTCTGTAAGAAGATAAGAAGTAGAGAAGATGCTGACCTCAGCTGGAAGAGGAAGCTTCTCACACTATGCTCCATATATAGTGAAATATAAGTTCCTTTTTCTATTCTACACACACTATTACCTTTTCCCCGCCCCCATTTCTTAAAAATACTGATTGTCCTAGTGGTCTAAAGTGCGAGCATGGTAGTCTCTGGTCCCCCATTATGAGTCGTGTCCCTTATTCCTTATTGTCCATACACAAGCTGAGTTCCTGAGCTCTGAGTGTTAGCAAAGACCCCTACCACACACAATAACCTTGGGCAAGTGTTTCACCTTTTGAGGCCTTAGTTTCCTCCTGAGTCAAATAAATGGGGTGGACTAGATCATCTAAATATATGATCCTATGAAAAATAATTATACAAATTTAAAAATAAGTAAAGATAAAAGTAGTAAAAATGAGGTTTTAGAAGAAAGGTCAGCCAAGAATAAGGGGAAAAGTATATCCACTATTGGAATGTATATGAAGAGAGTGCTGCGGTGTTTGTAGAGAAGTCACACTAATGTGCTCAATATGCAACCATAACAGTTGAGAAAGATAGACATTTTAAGTTGGTTTCCCTTAATTTTTTGACCCTTGAAAGTTACATATAGATAGGGAGGTATTTCAGGAAGTCTGCTTGGATTCAGGTAGAAAATAATTATGTGTCCAGGGGTATGAGGGAGAGTCTTGTTGAAAAGTGCATTTAATTTTTGAAGTTCCCAATAGGTCACCTAGTACCCTGTTATCAGGAACATTTGCCTGATTTGCTCCCTAAAGCTCCTATCTGGAGTATCCAGTCAAAGCCTTATCTCATTTTCAAAATTCTCCTGCTACTACCCCCTCCTTCCTCATTCATTCATTCAACTAGCATTTATTAAGTGCCTACTAGAAGCTGAAGACACAAAAAACAAAAAAGGACAGTGTCTGCCCTCAAGAAGCCCCTGTATGATCTCCCTTTTAGATATTTCTTGCTTTCTAAGAAGTTTAAATAAGATATGACCCTCTACTCCCGATCTAACAAGGTGGAACAGGATGGGAGATTCCAGTTTTATCTTCCCGCGTCCAAGGTGTACCGAGATTGAAAATATCTGCTATTGAAAGTCGTGGGAGACTAGGTTCATTTTGCATTACCCAAGGCCTGCCACTCTGTGGTGGCTTACAAAAAAAAAGTGGTCCCAAATGTGCTGGGGGTTCACGTAGCTCTCCAGGTGGAGGTAAGAAGACCTGGAGCGCGGGAGCGCGGGAGAGGCCCGGGGTGGGGGGGGGGGGGCGGGGCTGCTGGGCTCTCGGCCCCCACCTCAGCCTCGGGCTGCCTGGCCGCGGGAGGATGCTCTGGCCGCACCCGCAGCCGATGGGCGGCAGCGTGAGCCCAGGAGTTCCTGGAGCGGCGGCTGAAGCAGCGCTGAAGCGCTGCCTCCTCCCGCTCCCACAATGCACAGGGAGGCGGCGGCGGCGGCAGCGGCGGCGGCGGCTGGGGAGGCGGCGGCGGCGGCAGCATCGGCGGCGACGGCGGCATCGGCATCCCGAGGCGTGGGGACTGCTCCCGACCAGCGAGTGATGGCCGAGCGCCTGCGGCCGGCCGCCTAAATTCCCGTCCTGCCCGGCGGCTGCCCGCGCTTCCTCGGCTTCGGGCAGCGGCGGCGGCCCATGCGGGATCCGGCCTCCGCAGAGGCGACAGAGGCGCAGGCGGCCGGGGGGCGTTAGGGGCATCGGCTGGGGGACGAGGCCCGAGCGGGCGGCGCCAGCACCATGGCTGCGTCGGAGCTCTACACAAAGGTAATGGCCCGGCCCGGGGGCAGCATCCCGGGGAGGGGCAGGGGTGGGGGACAGCCTGGGGAGGATGATGGACCCGCCCCGGCCAGCTGATGTCGCCTCCTCCCCTCATCCGTCCAGCTGTCAGCCTCTCCTCAGGCAGGAGCGGGATGCCGGCTGTCTGCCTGCCCGAGACTGAATGAACTGTCACGGCTTGGGTGGGGGGCATCGGAGAAGCACCACCCTTCTGGTACCCAGGGCCTGGCCTCCTCCCGAGAGGGCCGAGAGCATCCCTTTCGCTGGAGGTCAGGACCTCTTCTCCTCCCTACCTGGCATGAAACCTTCCCCTTTTGGGGTGAAGATTTTCAATTCAATTCAATCAACATTTACTAAGGCTACTATGTGTCAGGCACTGGGGACAAGGAAGAGGCAAAACATAGCCCCTTCCCTCCAGGAGCTTATAATCTAACCGGGCATACAACATGCAAACAAACATATACACAGCAAGATGATGATGGAGACAGGGGTGCCTATTTCCATGGGGCAGTGCTGGCCTCTGCAACTCCTTTCAGCTTGATTTTCTTTAGGCATGTGAAGAAGTGCCTGCATATTCATTAAGAGACCTTTCAAAGTCCTGAAAAAATCCGGAATGGGAGTTGATCAGATGACCTTATGATGAATGATGGTGTACATTTTATCCTTGGAGAGGGCAGGAGAGGGCCACCTGCTTAAAATAATTCTTTTTGTTTTGTTTTTGTTGACTCTGCTACTTTTTTTTAACCCAGATTTTGTTTGTTTGTTTGTTTGTTTTGTTCTTCTAAGACACTTAGGATCAAATGTTTGCCAAACTTTTCACCTTTTGGCTTACCAGTACTAGACTGGGCTAGATTTGGGCATTAAACTTTAGTCTCTGCTCAATCCATGTACTAGGATGATCATTTGTCAGGACTATTTGCAGATTCCTGCATTGGGTTGAACTGTATAACCTTTAAGGATTTTCCTAACTCTTAAGATTCTATGATTCCAAGATTCCTGACTGAGGTAATTGTTTCTCCTATTCTTATTAAAGGGTCTCTTTTGCTACTGAAGTTTGCAACCTTGGTATGTATTCCCTTAACTCCTATATGTCTATTTTCATGGCCATTCACTGGGGGCCATTCCTTGTGAGCCTACTAAATGTGTAAATATGTATTCTTTTTCTCTGTAACAGACCTTTCAGTTTTATAACCTTTGGTTTTTCAGAATAATACATTACTTTCTTGAAGACTCTTCTAAAAGTGTGTGCTTTATTTGTTGCCATTCTTGATTGAATGTGGTTGCTGCTTTTCGAGTTGTATTTTGCTGGTTACTAGTTATAATACAAAGGATCTCATTTCTTTTTAAGTTTGTTTACAACAGAATCTTTGATGACAGCCCAGACAGATTTGTAAATGTAGAGATATGAGGCCAACATCTAGAAAGGTGAGATGGAAAGCACTCTCTAACCTAGGTTGTTGTCCTGCCTCTACTATCATTTATCTCTATAACCTTGGGATAGTCAATAGAATTCAATGATTTTATTATTCCAAGTTTGTATCTTTCTTCTTTACTTCAGTAAATACTTCCAGGTTCTGTGATTTCATTGGTGTGAGTACATTCCCTAACCAAAGAAGATCACAAATGTTCTGTCTTCTTCATGTGTTGTTCTGGTCTAAATAAATGGATCACTTTGTGGCCAAACTTCTGGTGATGAGTCTTTCCTTACTTAACTAGGCTGGTCCTCAGACATCAAACATTCAGTCTGTTGACCCCATCCTGACAAAATGGGTCAGACCCCCATTTATTACTGGCCCATCCTCTAAGAGTTCACTGTCATTTTTCTGCTATGGTAGAACATTGGCGTAGAGCTTTAGCGAAGGATATTTCACAAAACTGACATTATCTTCACCCGTCTGTGTGAATTCAGATTTTGAAAGTTCTAGGACTCATTTAAGAATAGCTCTGGCAGGGGGCAACTAGGTGGTGCAGTGGATAGAGCACTGGCCCTGAAGTCAGGAGGACCTGAGTTCAAATCTGACCTCAGACCAAACACTTGACACTAGCTGTGTGACCCTGGGCAAGTCACTTAACCCCAATTGCCTTAAAAAAAAAAGAATAGCTCTGGCATAAATAAATTCCATCTATAAGTTTGTCTTGGTTACTCAGTACATCTCCTACAACTGTTCATTATAATTGAAATGGAATTCTCCAACAAGAAATCAACTGTGTAAGTAAGGCATGCCATACAGACTCTGGTTGTGTCAATTTCTCTGATCTACCTATCCACAGTAATTTGTGTAAGAGAAAATCTTACTGATATCATTGAGATCTTGAATGTTTCTAGTTCTTACATCCATTCTCATGATTTTCAAGTTTAGACTGTGAATTCAAAAGCCTTCTAATATGTGCATTATCATAATTCTAGATCTGAACACCAGCTTTTAATATAAGTTTTTTTATATAAATATATTTTATATATAAAAATATATAAATATCATATATTTATATTATAATATAATATATAATACAAATTACAGTATATATTATATAATATATATAAAATTTATATGTAAATAAATATAAATATATATTATATATAAATATATAAATATATTTTTTATATAAATATAAACTTCATTTGAAACTCAAAATCCTCATTGGCTACCTTCTCCTAAATACCTTTGTGTTAAAATAAATTTAACTATTTGGCTATATTTTTAGAATTGGGCCTTCATTGGTGATTGAACTTTATGGCTGGTATTCACTTCTGTTATGCTTTTGACCCTCTTTGAGTCTCTAGTGTTATAAACAAACCACTGTTTTCTCAACTGCAGGCAGACAGTTGGAAAAGAAGAGTATTAGTAATGGTGTGTAACTGTGGAAATATTAGGGAGATTTCCAGAAATAAAGGCTTAATGAGTAGCAATTTTTTTGGGGGGGGGGCACAGGAATTCAGCAGAGAAATAGGAAATGATGGATAGGGATTACAGGAAAGGAAGCAATACACTATTACAAGAAATTGAGAAAAAAAAGAAATTAAGATGATGGTAATATATCATTTTTGGCATTGTACTATTTAAGTTATTTTTTTTAAAAAATCTGTTTAGATTTATGTAGGACTTAGTAGAGAGAAACCTTTCCTGATAGACGGAAACCATCAAATGCAGAAAGGGTAGTTTCTATTTTCTAGGATTTGCTATTTATGCATGGGTCAAGTTATAATACAGTAGAACACTATCCAATTTCTCTGGTGAACCAGGGTGCTATTTGTTTGACTAAAACATATCAAAACATTTTCTGTTTTTGGAAATCTTTTCTTCTGCAAAGAAAATTACTGATGTAATAAATATTTGGGTTGGTAGTATGCACACAACTCAAACTTCTGTCAAAACATTTTATTTGGAAAAAAAAGTTTTCCAGTGTAAACTGTCAAGTTGGAGAATTTCTCACCTTTTCCTCGGTCACCTCTACTTATGCATTTCATTTCATCCCTTTCAATTTTATTCCTGATAGTTTACAAAAAAAAAAAAACGTTCACATATTATCACATTTGGTTCTTAGAACAACTTCTTGAAGTAGAAAGGATGAGTATTACTATTCCCATTTTACGGATGAAGAAGTTGAGACCCAGTGGTTAAATGACTTGTATGGCTTAGGTAGAATTCAATGTTCTTTTGACTGTAACTTCATCCTCTTCTGTAATTTCTTTCTCACCACAGGTTCCTTTGCTTTTGTTTTTTAAACATGAACAGATATCAACAATATTGAAAGAATCTATTCAAGTACCCTATCATTTCTTTTTTCAATTGCCATCTGATTTTTCTTTTAGTCTTCTATGACTGAACTTCTGAATGTGTAGCTTATCTAGCTTTCCAGTCGCTCACCCCTTCTCCCTAACCCTCTGTGGTTTCTATTGAAACTGCTCTTTGAAGTCATCAGTGGCTTCCTCTAGCCCAATTTGATACAGGTTGACATTATGTTATAGTGTTTATTAAGTGTCTACATCGTTCAAAGCAGTGGGGATACAAAGTCAAAAGTTAAACAGTCATTGCCCTTTAGGAACTGACATTCTGTTAGGAGAGAAGATATGTGTTTGTATATATCTGTATGTGTGTGTACATACGTATATGTATATACATATGTATGTATGTACATTAGAAAGATAGGGTAATGTTGTGGGGGTGGGGAAGGCACTAACAGCTGGGAGGAATCAAGAAAGGCTCTATGTAGGAAGTGGCAGTTGAGTTAAAGACTATTGATTCTGAGAGGTGGAGATGAGGAGGGAGTACATTCCAGGCCTGAGAGACAGGCAATGCTAAGGCATAGAGGTGAGGGAAGAAGAATCAACAAGTAGGGTGAGGAACAAGAAGGTCCATTTGACTGAACCATAGAGTGAATAAAGGATTTGTTGTTCAGTTGTGGCCAACTCTTCATGATCCTTTTTTGGGGGGTGGGGTTTTTTGGCAGAGATATCAGATTAGTTTGCCATGTCCTTCTCCAGTTCATTTTATCGATGAGGAACTGAGGCAGACAGGGTTAAGTGACTTGCCCAGGGTCATACAGCTAGTAAGTGTCTGAGGCCAGATTTGAACTCATGAAGGTAAGGCTTCCTGATTCCAAGTCCAGTGCTCTATCCACTGTATCACCTAGCTGCCCTGCATAAAAGAGAGTAATGCATAATAAAGCTGTGAAGGTAGGTTGGAGCTGGGTTGTGAAGGGCTTTTAATATTGAAACAGTGGAGTTTGTATTTGATCCTAGAAGTAATAGGAAACCTCAGAAGTTTGAGCAGGGGAGTGATATGATCAGATCTAAATTTTAGGAAATTCTCTTTGGAAAATCTCTATATGGAAGTTGTGTTGGAGAGGGGAGAGACTTGAAGCAAGGAGATCCATTGGGAGACTATTGAAATAGTCCCAGTGAGAGGGGATGAAGGCCTGAACTAGGGTGGTGACTATGTGAATGGAGAGAAAAAGACATATACCAAAGAGTTTGAGAAGTAGAATTT